TAAACATTACCAAGTGTAACAGCAATTAAAATAGAAAAGAAAGCTTCACAGAGGCCAAGAATTTGGAATTAATTTCAATCTTGCTCCAAGTGCCATCTTGGTTGGTGATTTCAATACGAAAGAGGGTTTTAAGCTCTGCCATCCCAGGGAAATAGCAATAATTCTTAGATCTTTACACATCACATAGGAGAGGTGGAAGAGGAGGGAAAACGTCAGTGATGTAAAATGACACTAAGCTATTGCTCTAATTCCCCAAAGAATGTTCTTGGGCTTTAGCCTCTGCTGCTGTTTTCCCCACTTGTTCTGCATGTTCAGTACCAGCTTCCTCCAGGCTGCAGAAGTATCAGATTAAGCTTTTTATGAGGAACACATGTTGTAGGCAGGTGTGTTCAGTCAGCCTGTCAGACAGCCTGGGAATGCACATGCAGCCAAACAAAAGAGGACAGAGCTGGGATGTCCCAAGCATTCCCCAGGTAAATCAGCAGAGCAGGAAAGACAGGAAGAGACAAGTGTGCCCAAAGGGAATGAGGAAAACATAAGTCTGTACATCCCTCTGCCCCTCACTCATCTGAAGTTAACTTTTTAATAGTGAGTTGAAAAGTGTTCATAAAACAGCAGTATTGAAGGAAAGTGCTGGAGCCAGAAAGACTGAATTACAGCAAGTTCTACAGAAAGGGACCAGCTGGCTGCGAGTGTGCAGAATCCACCAAGGCTGGGAAGGCAAATTATAGGAGGTGTCACTGTTTCTTGTGTAAAATCTCTAGCTTTAGTTTACATCTGTCCTAGTGAAGATTCTGGGTTCTTCAACTCTTCTTTTAGTAGAAAAACTTGCCATTGGTTTTTCTACCACAGAGAATATGGGCAGAGTCTCCTCCTTCAGGACGGATGTATTCTAGGTTTCACTTCTAATTAGAGCTAATGAAGTGTGTATGCTCTCATCGGTGCAAGAGGGGGTAAATGAAGAGATCTCTACTACAAGAAAGCAAAAAGCCAGCTCGTGAAAGAGCTATTGTGACCAGATCAGCAAAAAGAGACAAAGTCCTTTGATTCCTTGACCTTCTTTACTCTTTGGATGCAATTACCACCCCTGAAAATCTAGCTTCTGCCAACAGCAAAGCATCTCTTGCGTGTTGCTTCTCACATAACATCTGCTGTCAAGGCCTGCATTGCCGCCTTCCTGGGAGCCTTCCAACCTGTCAGTCTGAGTGAAAACAGCAGACAGGCAGGCAATGAGCTCTCTCGGTTGGAAAGACATTTCCAATTTCCATCCCATTCAGTGGAGCCTCAGGAAAAGCCTAACCCTCCCCACTCCCAGAACTACCATATGGACAGCCCAGAGCTATGCCAGGTATTTCAGAACTAGGAATGGCTCCTCTCCCTGCTGGCTGGCAAGTCGGGGAGATGCGAGATGAATCCTTGCTAAGATAAAAACAAAGCAGATTTCTTTTCCTGACAAACAAGTTGCTGTTGCGTTTCCTAATTGGGTTGGTAGGATTAGTTTTACAGTGACATTTCTGTACCAGTATGCACTTTAAGATGTCATTGCAGTAAGCTTTTTCCTCCAACGTGTTCTCTGCTAAAGCATTGAGAAGGATTTTCATACAGGGCCCTACAGCCACTTGTATCAGGCACAGAGACAGATATGCCCAAGTTTGATTACATTCCAGATTAAAGGAGTTGCTTTTGCCTTCAAGGGGTACAGATGAGCTCTGAGCTACAACAGACTGAGACCTTCTGTATCTTCAAATGCATGCCCAGGGGCGGGGTAATATAGACAGCGGGAGTCAAGATGACAGCCAACACCGTGCTCACCAGATGGGTTCAGGTTTGCTTTCCCTCTCCTTTGGCATGCAAGATCAACTTTAGTGAGCCTCACTCTAAGTACACAATACATCTCACTACAGCTCCCCAATAGTCTCAAGGAACTGGTATTTCCAGAAAACAACCAAGATGTCCACAGCAAGGTACTGCATCGTTAAAAGAACATGGGTTTCATGCTATCATATCTGGAATTAAAAAAAAAAAACAACACCTCAAAACACACTTCTTCCCTCAAACTTCTCAAAAACTATTAGGCACAGCAAAAAAACTACAGAAAGCACGATTTTGGCTGTCCCTTGACCTTCTTAAATGGGAATTGGCTATTCTGGTCTCAATTGTGTGGCAGACAAGGAGGGAACTAGGTCATGTCCCTTGCTGCATCCCCTGAGCCTTCAAGTTCCTCACGGTGTTTTTTATACTATCGATCTGGTGTCCCTGCCCGTCTGCAGCACAGAACCTGCCAGGTGCTCTGGGAAGGACAGCAGCCTGTAATAAAATCTGCTTTAAAAGGAGATAAAGAGAACAGAAAAAGATCCTGGCAGGGATCAAAGAGTTTGACCCTCAGAGACTAAAAAGGGAGAGAACTGGCTGACTGGTTTCAGGCAAGGTCTGAGAGAGAAAGTGAAAAGGCTTGCTTTCTGCCTTACCTCAGCAGAGAAAAGAAGAAAAGCTCTATTTCTCCCCCTGTATGACAAAATTATATGAGCTGGCAGGAGTTACAGGCCTGGGGCTTCAGTAGCCTACCTATATTACAGGACAAGTAGAAATTTAGCTCACTCTGCATAGTGCAGCCCATGTGGCTTCCTTGCATATGAGTATTTTAGCCTCATTTCCAGGGCTTAGGATTCAGAAATTCACTGCAACTTAAATCTCAGGGAGAAGGAGAGAAAAAAAATATTTACCTAAATCCTATTTTATCTCATGGCTCCTCTGCCTCCCCATCTGGCCCTTGGTGGTGTTTTGCAGATGCACAGAGAATATTATCTGTGCCTTTGGGGAAGAAGCAAAGAAGAAAACCCTCCCGGAGACACAGACTCCTGTCATCTCCTCTTCGCTCAGGGCCATGTGCCCAAGTGAGTGAGCTGCCATAAACCAAACCCGGGACCATTTGTTGGCTCCACCTCTAGCCTGGGGCACAGCTGCCAGCTCAGGCATTTAGGAAGGATGCTGACAGTGACATACATCTGCACTTTAAGAGTCGGGGATGTTCTGATTTCAAAGTCTGTCAATTGTTTCACCCAAGCCAGGAACAGCCCCGGTTCAGCAGCATCAATCCCAGCTCCAGCAAACAGCCCTTTCTAAAAAGACAACGGGCTCTTTTCTTCCGGATGCATTGCTTTGCCTTACTCATGCACATGCCTCGCAGCCAGCTTTAATGCAGATCGTTTTCCCTGAAGGAGAACTAACCAAATATTAACAGCCAGCACACACACGCCGGGGAGTCCGTCCAAGTCAGGAAACAGGAGCTTCTCTGTCTGCCTCGGTTTTGTGACATGGCAAGAAAGGACTCGGAGACTTCCCCCCCCTCCCTGCAGTTCACTGGGTCACACAGAGCATCCCAGCTAATAGGAAATGCAGGATCAAGACAGTGGAAAGTTGTACCAAAAACGTGCAGAGAAGTACCTGGCACTCCAGAAGCTTGGAATTTCTCTATTTGTTATCCTTTAACACATCAAGTTACCTTTCTTTTTTAAGCCAAAACCTAAAACGTAAACGTTTCACCAGCACGCATCCATTTGTGCTTAAAGCCATTAAGCACAAAGTAATAAGCCAAAACAGATTAGGAAGATGGGGGCTACTAACTAATGCAGCTACAAAATGGGAGAGTACCAACAAGGTAAAGGGGACAACAGACGGTTTGTTTCAGTTAATTTCACAGACAAGTGAGAAACAATAACAGTGAACACTAAGGACATTGAATTACTGCAGAGTATTTTAAAAAGCCTGCGGAAGACTCTGATGAGGAAAGAGTTGATGGAAACATTTAGTGCATATCTTTGGTGTCAGCAGAAAGAAAACATGTTGTTTTCTACTTCCTTAAACTTTTTCTGGAGATAAGGATCTTCTCCCTTTTATTTCTTCACAACGAATGTGCAGATATGTGCTCCCCCACCCATCACTAAGTCACATGGAATACGAGAAATCCCCCTCCAGAAGGGTGTCTGTCCTTGTCAGAACATGAATTTCTACCCCCAACAGGGCTACACAATGATTTGTTATCGTAACGCTTGCGTGTGATGCGTTACTCCAGGTGTTCAGTTGCTGGTATCCATTTCCAATTCTTTCCAGCAATATTGTTCATAAAGGAGAACAAACAAACAAAAAAAAGCTATTTACAGAGGCTTTTGCAATCAGATGATACAAAATGGGATGGAAAATATGGGCCAACCTCTGTGTCTGGAAAAAAAAACCAAATGGCATCCCCTCAACATTCATAGAATGGTTTAGGTTGGAAGGGACCTGAAAGATCATCTAGTTCCAACCCCCCTAATCGTTACCCCGTGGCAACCTCAGCGACGTACTCACCGCGATCAGGATCTGGAAGGAGCTGTGCATGACCTCGATGTACCGGTACTCCAGGGCACAGCCTATCACAGAGATGTAGGAGTGACTGTCCAGCCCTTTGATGCCAGACATGGAAGCCTCCTTCCTTACACAGCCAGGACCATTTTCACTCCACCATGATTGGTGCCGGGAGATGTTGAACGTCAAGAGTTCACTGTCCTAAAGAGAAAAGAGATCTCCATTTACAAAGTTCCAACCCCCCTAATCGTTACCCCGTGGCAACCTCAGCGACGTACTCACCGCGATCAGGATCTGGAAGGAGCTGTGCATGACCTCGATGTACCGGTACTCCAGGGCACAGCCTATCACAGAGATGTAGGAGTGACTGTCCAGCCCTTTGATGCCAGACATGGAAGCCTCCTTCCTTACACAGCCAGGACCATTTTCACTCCACCATGATTGGTGCCGGGAGATGTTGAACGTCAAGAGTTCACTGTCCTAAAGAGAAAAGTTTCAAAGAGATCTCCATTTACACGTGTCTGATATGATGGAGGCCATATTCATTAAATCAATGGGAAGCCTAAAGTTTCTGAGATCCCCCCCCCTCAAAGATGCTAGCACAGATCAAAATACATTTGCTTTCTATTCCTTATCAAAAAGTATTTCACAGACAGGCTTCTGGGATGAGAATAATTTCTGAGGCAGTCCTGCAGCGCTCCAACAAAGCTATACGTGTCTGATATGATGGAGGCCATATTCATTAAATCAATGGGAAGCCTAAAGTTTCTGAGATCCCCCCCCCTCAAAGATGCTAGCACAGATCAAAATACATTTGCTTTCTATTCCTTATCAAAAAGTATTTCACAGACAGGCTTCTGGGATGAGAATAATTTCTGAGGCAGTCCTGCAGCGCTCCAACAAAGCTATTGCACCATCACATTGCACATTTCTGAAGCGGGTCTGAGCAGCTTCTAAAGCAGCAAGACAGTTTCTAGGCTGCAGCCCCAAGAACACTTTGCTACTGGTTCCTGCGCCCGGAAAAGGACCCTCCAATTGTGGGTGTGGGGATTAACCTCGCAAATCTAGAAGAAAAGGTTAAACAAGGCAGCACTACACGTCCTGTCACAGAATCACGCAGCAGCAAGACAGTTTCTAGGCTGCAGCCCCCAGAACTCTTTGCTACTGGTTCTCGTACCCAGAAAGAACCCTCCAATTGTGGGTGTAGGGGATTAACCTCACAAATCTAGAAGAAAAGGTTAAACAACGCACTACGCGTCCTGTCACAGAATCACATGTTCTGGGTATGCTCTTCCCAGCACAGAGAACTGAGAAGTATGAACTTCATAACCCCAAAGTGAGTTTCAAAACCCAACAGATCTTCCTCTATTCCGAGCTTTTAACACGTCTAACAAGTTCCTTTACCATTTCTGTCTGATTTCCTTCTACAATCTTCACATATGGCACATCTATGTCTTCTGCTGACCTTACTCACTGTCAGCCGAGCTGACCTCACTGTGATGACTCCAGCTTCTTGCAAACACTCCCCCAGCAGTTCCTTATCATCTCTACCCCAAGAGAGGCTTTTTGTTTTGCTCCTCTCATCTTTCCTCATACAATAACGTAAACCATGCCATTGTGGGCACGGGTTACACTATTTACAGTGAAGCAGGAGCTTGGTATGGAACAGGGAGCTCATTTAAAAGTGACACCACTTCCCTCACACTTGAGAAAAGAGTGGTATTCACTGGAGTACCCAGAAGAGCTTTAGGACTTTGTTGATGGGACATGGCAAAACCCTCCCTGCGGATGGTAAAAGCCAAACTTGGAACTGGCTGAATGAACTCATCACTTCACAGAGGAGTGCTAAGTGCCCAGCAGCCCCCTCAAGTCACTTTGATATGGAATCAACTCCTTTCCGCCATAAAACAGGGCAAGGGATTGGAAGTTTTATTTTGAAGGACAGATTATAAAATGGATCAGGCAGAGAATCTGTGTCTCTACAGGGTAGAAATAGCTACTGGATACACACACACACATGTACCCCACCTAACCGTTACTGGAAGTTTTAGCACCTATCCATACACTGCTTCACATTGCACATGCCAGCGTCCTACACAGTCCCTGTAGGAAAGAAGCAGCTCCCAGAAGAGCAGCAGAGCTTGGGGTATTTACACTTCCCAACAGGGGAAACCTCACGTGGCAGTTCCTTCACCTCAGCTCCCTGTAGAGTCAAGGGAGAAAAACAGATTCAGAGCAGCTTGTCCAAGCTCCTGCTCTGAATTACCCTCTGGAGAGAGGAGTTGTCTGTGCTGCCAGTACAGGGAGGCTGGCCAGGTGGTCCTGCAGATACACTTCTCCGTGTCTGTGTTTGTATCCAGGGGCAAACTTGAGTTACAAGGGCAGAAAATTTAAATGCCAGCCAGAAAACCTGCGAATAGAAACCAACTGCCCCACTATGCACATTGTGTAGGTACCCTCCACTCAGAAACAGGCTGCAGAGCTGTTATTAAAATATGCTGCAGGAAGCACATGTTAAGAAATGTGGACAATTAAGTGAGAAGACAGCTGCCAAACTCCTGACATAATCACCACGACAGATGGGATGTGCTTTACAGTAGATGGAGGAGGGCACGGAGATGGAGTACGGCACCAGCGCGAAGGCAGCCGGAGCAGCAGAGACAATAGGGAAAACTCTATTAACAGTTGGGAGTTGAGAGGGAGCTGTCTGCATTTTAAAGGCTACAGGGAATAATGATGAGATTGACAGCTCTGGGATAACGCACACAGCACAACGTGTGTGCTAACTTCATTTCTAGAGACGGTTTGGTTTTCTCTTCCAGCTTCTCACAACTTTGGCACAAGTCTTTGGCCTGCTCCCTCTGCTGGGCTCTGCTCTCCAGTGGCCCACAGACATCCCACACACCCAAAGCCCAGCTTTTCTGCCAAGCTTGTTCTTTCTCTCACGAGTTTGCAGGTTCTTAGACACATAGATCTTCCCCAGCAAGAGCTTTTCCTCCTGGAGACAGCCAGCCCTCCAAGCTCCCGTGCTTTCCTCCTTCTCACAAGCCACTTGGGTTAGGGAAGGAAAGAATCGTGTTTCTCCAACACAAAGACTCAATTCCTGTTTCTTTGCCTGGGGCTTCCCCCAATTAGCAGAGAAACAAAGCTGTTCCACAGGGCACCCCAGGATCTACTCTTAACCTCGGTCCCCAGGGTTTCCCTCTCCCAGCTCACAGATGGTGCCTTCCCAGACCTTCTGCCTCACTGATGTGAAGAGCCCCTTCCGTGCCTGCTCTGCTCCTGACAGAGGCATCTATGTGTGTTTGGCAAAGTAAGGAACAGGCTGCTCCCCTTCTCGAATCTCCCTTTTGGCAGTCCTCAGAGAATTGGCTCTGGCTTAACTTTGCTGCAGAAGCTGAACTTGCTTGTGAATAAAGCCTGAAAAAGCAGAACAAGTGCTGGGCTGGAGGTAGGCAGGTGGAGGAACAGGAGGTCCTACACAGCACTCACCGCTTTTTGCCCACAATCATGCTCCGACTCCACCAAAAATAAATTATAACGCTCCAGTTAAGAGCAGATTGGAAAAAACTGAGCACATTTGGATTCTACACAATGACTCGCACACAGGAGCCATCCCTCTCGCAGATGTAAAATGAAGACTGATGGCACACTGGGATTATGGATGCCCTCATGTTCACAGAGACCTTTCTGAGCAAGAATCTGTCTGGAGTACTGCAGGGCACAAGGGCAGCATCAATGGAAGGGTCTCAACATCCAAAGCAACGCCCTTCCTTTGCTTGTGTCCCTGGCTGGGTGTCCTCGGAGGATACCTCTGCTGATGGGGCACAATAACAGAGCATTCAAGAAAAACCACATAATTGACCTCCAGTTGCTCAGCCCTCACTGAGAGACTTGAAAAACAACCCCAGGATGTCCCTGCAATTTGCCAGCTTCATTTGCAAGGAGATGCTTGAAGAAGTGGAACTATGAAATAGGAACAGCACAGTAAAATCAGGAGAAAAGAACCAGTTGTGAGCAAGTTTAGGGAACAGCTGTTCCCCAAAACCTTCCTGCAATGCATTTGAAGTCTAAACACACTGAAATGCTCCCAAAAGCGGCACGCAGGTGGGAAGATGTTAATCAGCCCCAGAAGTGAGGAAGCCCTGCTGGAGGGAGAGAGTGATCTGTGTGTAACCACACTCCCCCTTGTTTCGTGACTGGCTGCTATTTAAAGGGCTATTGCTTCCTCTTTAACCTTCAGCCTGAGGAGAAATATGAGCAAAGAGTGATACGAGCTCCTTCTCGGGAGCATGTTGAAGGCCAGCCAAAAAAATCACACATCACTCTGAACTGCTGTAACACCTGGTTGCCATCCATTTGCCATCAGCACGAGGAGGAAGGCAACAGCACTAAAAGTGTAGTATGTACATTTTAGGCTTTTTTTCCTTTCCCAGCCTCGCCCCAGTGTGTCCCATGGGGAAACTCACACCTACCTCTGACACCCACGGAGCCAGCTGTGTTCCTTTTCTAAAACAGCTTTCTGAAAGCTGTTCTGAAATGATTTTCTGAGGGACACTATCAGAGATGGCTTTATTTCTTGTTGTTAATAGCCTTCTGAACTGCCTCCCTCCAAATTTCCTTAATTAGCAGGCAAGCCAGCACTGTAATGGCTCTGGAAACAAATGGAACCCTGTATGGGAGCCCCCCAGAGCTTGACAGCAGAATAATGTTAAATCTTTTCAGTTGGAAACATTTCTTATCAAAATAGGAAATAAAATGTTTATCTTTTAGTGGTGTGTGCTGAATAGCTGTATCACCCCGAGACGAGAGAGAAGCACTTTTATTGTCTCTCAGCAGGCTTGTTGACAATGCCACAGCACTTAAAGGCCAGATCCCAGGCTTCCAGGCTCTAAATTTAGATGGAGTTGAGGGACAGTTGTAATTATGCATGCACGGTATTTTTTTCCAGGTACAAAGTCATCCCAAGATGCTGTCCAGATTCTCTAGTATACAAATAACCCCCCAGCTGACTAATAAGGGCTGCTTCCATTTCAAGAGGAGATTTAGACCACCACAGCTCTGGATTCAGATCAAAGCACTGGGTAGACAAGAGAGAATATAAAGAAAGAGCAAAAAAAAAAAGTCACCATTCCAAGATGAATAATTCCAGAGGGAAAAGACAAAGGAATACATTGAAATACACAACAGCCATTCCTCAAACCTCTCTGACTGTTTCTCAAGTACATGATGAGGAGTCAATCAGCACGGCAGCTGGACAGACAGATGCTCATATGTCTTACCAGCAGGATTTTAATAATTAACTCAGACTGGGGGGTTGCAGGAGGGACTGTTTCACACTCGAGTAGAGAGGGAGCAGCTTAACGTGTTATTTCAAGCACAGCCTAGAAACTTCAGAGATTGCTCCCAACAATCCACCTCACCAAACGGCCAGATGGACAGAGAGAAAAGAGGGAGACGGAACAGGAACAGACCGGAGGAGGAGAAAAAAAAATAAAAATATGGCAATCTGGAGATTCAGCTGTCATCCTCACCACGGAGCAATGGTGCAGCACCTTTGGAGAGGCTGCCTTCCCCCCCAGATGCTGCAAGTGTGCTCAGAACTGTGAGTGGAGCAAGTGGTATCGCTGCCAAAAGCCACCCGGAGGCACATCACCATCTCACCGCCAGTGCTGGGAGGCAACCCTTCAAATCCAGACTGCTCTCTCCCTCGCCTGCTCGTTGGCAAAGCACTTACAGGAAGGCTGCCATCGGCTACACGCCTGGGGAGGCTCTTGCAGCAACAAGGGAAGTGCTTTCTGAGACACTTCTGCTGATCCGTTTGTGTCTGGCCACCTAATGAAGTTCTGCTGTGCCGTATTTCACACGGTTATTCCTACTAAGAAAAGATTACAAGATTTAAAAAGTTTACAGGATAGAAATATAAGAAACAAGGCCTGTTTAGCTCTTTCGAGAAGTAGAGAATAGAGTCACAGAGCAGGAAAGAGAATTTTCCTTTTGGAAAAGAAGTAATTCAGGGTGTTATAACTGGTGGCTAAGAAATAGATGATTAGTAAGTAGTTACAACTACCCTGAGCAGGGCAGACCAGAACAGCCATTCTCAAGGTCTCCTTGGCCAGGAGACAGCAAGCATTGCTGGAGGAAGAGCACTTTAGGGAATGATGTGAAAGAGAGGAGGAAGGAGAAGGTGAGAAGTGGTGGGGTGGGCAGACAACCCAACGGAGGAAAGAGTCAGTGGAGAAACAATTGCTTGGGAAAGGAAAGCAAACAGCCAGCCCCCAAATTGCAGTTCAACCACCATGCGCCTACCAATCCATATTCTACTGATGACAGAGTTTATAATTAAGAGATAGTCTCTTAACCCATTTGCCAAATTGCTCATGGGCTGACACAGGACCTTACCTCCCAGACCCCACAGCTGTGATGCTCCTGATTTCTGTTCTGGAGATCAGCTGGGCACAAGAACCAGTGCCCACGCTCACCTCAGCCCTTCCCTGCTCCCAGCCTGCGCTCCCTCACCACTGGGAGATCAGATCTTGCCACCAGAGCACAAAGAATCATTTGCAATAAGCACACGTAACCATTTCCTCTGTTCTTCAGGATTTCCTAAACTTACTACAGCAGAAACACTTGGATCCTTTCCCCCCTTTTTCACCCCACCTGCGTTATCACCTGTCTCAGTTGCACTGGGCTGTCATTACCAGCCACCGAGTTCACAAACTCCATTCTTTCTAACACATTGCCCTTTCTACATTTTGTCATTATAAATTAGCTGGCTGCTGACAGAGATCTCCCTGGCAGGCTGCCTTCCTCAGGAACTCAGAGGGGCTGGCAGGAACTACTCTTCCACAGCCTCACCAGGAGAGGAAACAGCACCTGAAGACCTTCCTCAGAGCTATCAACCCCTTATGGGACTTGCACAGGAACAGCCCTGTCTGAAACACTCCCCAGCACGTTCATGCTTAGTCTAGTAGTTAATGAAGTTAGTGTTTACCTGACCAGCTCCATCAGCCTCACTCCACCAAAGCTCTTCTTCTAATATTTGCAGTCTACCTGCTTGCTGCCAGGCTAATTACAGGCTTTGACTTCTTATTAGGAACTGAAGGACAGCTTCCTCCCAAGGTCCCCAGGGGCACACAGAGGTATCTGCTCCTCTGCAGCACCCCTGGCTGATTCTTCCCTTGCCCCCTCCAAGAGCCCATCCAACACTTGCTAATCCAAGCCCAGGTGTCCTTCTGGGACCTGATCCCAATACAGAGATCCATAAGACTCGGCAGATGTCAGCTGGCTTTGGATCAGGTTCCTAGAGAAGCAGTGGGACATCAGTACTGCTCCTGAGTCCAGCCTGCAGAACACCACACCCTCCTACAGAAACCTGAATTACAGCTTCTGTTCTTGTGTGGAAGTGAGGGTTTGTTTGGCCATTGCAGAAACCCAAATAACTTCAGTTAAAGGGGAGAAAGCAGATGGAAAGCAGCATAATGAGTTTTTCTTACAGGACAGCCTTTTTAAAATGAAGTTAACTCTTTAAGAGCAGATGGAAGGTTGTAAAGGAATTTACCACCAAGCAAGCACAAGTACTCTTTTTGTTTTGCCATCAAACTAACTATAATGGCCCTCCAGTACCTAAAGGGGCTACAGAAGAGATGGGGAGGGACTCTTTATCAGGGAGTGGATGAGGGGGAATGGTTTTAAATTGAAAGGGGAGATTTAGATTAGATACTAGGAAGAAGTTCTTTACTGCAAGGGTGGTGAGAGCCTGGCCCAGGTTGCCCAGAGAAGCTGTGGCTGCCCCATCCCTGGAGGGGTTCAAGGCCAGGCTGGATGGGGCTTGGAGCAACCTGGTCTGGTCCGAGGTGTCCCCGCCCAGGGCAGGGGGGCGGAACTTGATCTTTAAGGTCCCTTCCAACCCAAACCATTCTGTGATTCTATAACAGCATGAATTTCTCATTGCAGCTCTAGAGAGAAGTCCACTGAGTCGATAACAACTTGTACAGCAACCCAATTCTATTAAAAAAAAAAGTCCCCAATCCCAAGTGTCATGCTGTAGGCTAAATAAAGGTTCTCTGTGTGCTGGCTTTGCTAAAACGAGCCCCGGCACAGAGCAAGGTTATGGGATGAAGCTCCTCTGTCATGGAGAAAGCAGAGTTTGAATTGCAGAGCAGCAGCCCGGCGGGCTGGGATTAGTAAACACAAGTAATCAGCTGGCTGGAAGCAAACTCTGGCTGTCAGAGAAGCTCCCAGAGCAGTTTATCAAGCCAATATTTCCTCTACAGAGGGGAGCGGTTAAAGAGTTACATAAAATTCTTCCTTTCGCCGGTCACAGCCGACACCGAGATCATCTCAGGCTGAGCTCTCAGACCATGAGTAATCACTGTTTCGGGCAAGAACTCTCTCAAAAGTTTCTGTGGATAATTGAGAGGGGAATAATTGAGGAATTAGGAAGTTACATTTTCTTATCTGCAAAGGATTTGTGCTGTCACTCCTGACTTGCTGTAGGCCTGATAAAGAAAACGTACCACAGCTCCAATTATGACTGCAACTTAGATGTATGACCTGGGAATTCAGGCCAGATGTAGAGCGCTCCGAAATGAACCTGCATCCTATAATCACTCGGAGCCTGCTAAGCTCCAGCCACACTTAGTAATTCATTGCTTACAGCTCGGGCTTAATTTAGGGCCTGCCTCCCGTTTTTATTAGTTCTGACTCTCCCCTCATTAGGCAGACAGCAATACTCAGCTTATCTCGCCTTCAAAGAGCTTCCCATATTAACCCCCGATACCCCTGGCCAAGAGCCATGAATAACTACCACCGTGTTTAAGAAGGAAGAATTAAGACAGGGAAGCCACATCATGTCAGAGACCACGTCCAGGGGAGATGGACCAGCCTCCCCAGCATCCCTCTGGTCCAGCCTCTGTTCAGCAGAGAGAGGAGCCTCTCCCAAAAGGTGCAAAGGGAGATATTTTGCCTGGTGTAGCAACAACCAGGTACCTACCCCTATTGCTGAAGTGCATTAGGTTCTTCAGCAGGACCAGGAGGCAAAAAGATACCAAGATCTGGTCAGGTTTGGAGTTACAGCAAAGCTTTTGGTCCAGGTCAGCCCAGCCATACCGAGTCCTTGCAGCAGCTCTTCCCTGGGACAGGCTCACAGAGAGCACGTTCACTGCTGCACGAGGGCCTTCCCCTCCGAGTCACACACCTTCTTCCCAAGGTGTTATCAGATCACAAGAGGATCAGCTGTAATCTAATTAGCTCATGGCCTTCCTCAGCCACCTCTGCCATCAGGGCTGAGAATTAGCCCTCAAACCCCTTCTCCCCCCAGGATGGCTCTGCTGCCGGGCTCCCTCTCACCTTTAACAAGCAAATACCCTGTGAGGGCAGGGCTTATTCCAGCCCCCACCTGCACGGACCAGCAAAGGGCTCCAGAAATCTGTATTACCCTCCTATTTTTACCATACAAGCAGTTGAACTCCATCCCCTAGTGAGGCAGCCCTCTCCATGGGCAAAGGGACAAGACCTGCCCCCAGGCACCCCCAGGCCACTCACCTGAACACCCCCCCGCTCCTCACACAGCTCAGCTCCATCCCCCTTGATGCAAAGCCTGGGCACTCACCCATAAAGCTCCTACTTACCTTTGAGAGCCCTCCCACTTCTAAATAAAAGCAGATGATGAAGATGTTCCAGGTGACCCAAATTGCAGTCCAGATGGCATACTAGAAGGGAATGGGGGAAGAGGAAGAAGAGATAAATATTAGGAAGTCCCTGGGATTAGTTTATACATCTATGTGATGCAGCTGGGGGCAGTTAAAAGCCCTGAATCAGCGCTGCAACCGTTTTCTCTTCCTGTTTGTTTCCCATCCGCAGATGGTCCCTCGATTAGGGACACAGGGGCAGAAGTTTGGAGGGAGTGGAAGAGCTTCTGCCGTGCCTTTATCCAGCATCCAGTCCTTCCTTTCTGCTTGTACAGTATCTTGATGTTACTTTGGTACCAGTAATAATGATCTGATATTTTCCATGTCTGGAGTAAGTGCCGTGAAAGTGCAGCACCAGTGAACAATGTGTTCCCCAGCACAGCACCTCCTGCTAAAACTGTTCACAAAGCTCCTGCCCCATGTCCCAAGGGCTTCACTGGGTTCTTCATCACTTGCCACGTCCCACCAGAGCAAAAGCTGTGAAAGGCTCTGAACAAAACGGGTATCACTTACCACCACTATGTAGCGAGGCCGATATTGAATCGTGCCAAACAGGCCGAGGATAACGATGATGATGTGGAGGAAGTTGGCGAGGATGGGGGCCCACTGGTATCCCAGGAAATCGAACACTTGCCTCTCTAACGCAGCGAGCTGGAAGGGAGAAGGAAAAGGAGAGTTTCAGCTTTCTGGGCTCAGGATGTTTATTCTCAAGGTTTTGACGCGCTCCCTGAGCAAATCACTGCAGCGGCTGAAGATGTTACTCCGTTCCCAAATTAATTTAATGCCTATGCACCAGGTCAGTAGGACAGAACTTGTGTCTGCACACACCCCTTCCACTTACCGTCTCCTCTGATGGTGAAGCTAACGCAGACCAGTGAGCTCCAGTGCCTGTACTGGGAACACGTCCTCTGTCCCATGCAATCTGCAATGGGGAGGTGGCCCTGGCAGAGGGGAGCAGTGGGACAGTAACATCTTAAATAGCTGCAGCAGGACTTTAAAGAGCTCATTTGTCAGAGCCTGCAGCATCACTCCATCATTCCTGACACCTCTCATGTCTCTGCTCTCCAGCACACATCCATCAAAGTGAGAGGGAAGAGGAAACTCTCCCCCCCACCTTAACCCTGCAGAAAATGCTGCCACCCAGCAAAGAAATTCTGCAAACGCATCGCTTTTCCAGGAGGACAGACCATGCTCCTCTCCCGCACTAATAACATGGTTCAAGGCTAGTACTGTGTTCTTGAAATAAAACTCCATTACTGTTGAAGTGCTGGGCCCGCTTTTCAAATCATATTTGCATAAAAATGAGCTTTTTCATATGTAGCCGTCACCTGTGTATCAGGCAACAGCTGGTAACCTGCATCTGAACAGCCTGCAGCTGAGAGCACAGCAAACCTGCAATTCCATGCTGGCCTTTACCTTCCCACAGCCTTGAAATATTATGGCTACAGGGAAAAGAGCGAGTGGAGGGGGGCAAAATGGTTGCTGGAGGTTTTTCCCCTGTCAGGGTAAGATTTCAAAGTCTGTTTAATTAGCACAGTAGTATTTTATGGGATTGCATTGTTGCATTTCATCTTTATTTTCACTTAACTCACAGAATGGTTAGAGTTGGAAGAGACCACAAAGATCATCCAGTTCCAACCCCCTGCCCTGGGCAGGGACACCTCCCACCAGACCAGGTTGCTCCAAGCCCCCTCCAACCTGGCCTTGAACCCCTCCAGGGATGGGGCAGCCACAGCTTCTCTGGGCAACCTGGGCCAGGCTCTCACCACCCTCACAGCAAAGAAGTTCTTCCCCACATCTCATCTCAATCTCCCCTCTTTCAGTTTAAAACCATTCCCCCTCATCTTATCCCCCCCCCCCCCCAGTCAAGAGTCCACCCCCTATTTATTGTAATAAATAATTACAATTTACCATTGGTAGTTAATATTAATCTAACTACTAATTAGCTATTAACCATGGATGATCCTAGTCCACTGTGTGTGATCAGCTACGTGGCATCTTTTCCTGGCTTGGCTTTTAAATGCCAGCTGGGGACCAAGCACTGGAGCATCCGTAATGGCTTAAAGCATTCAAGGCAGGGAGTGGTTGCAGGTCCCAGTCAAACCCCCCAGTGGGGAAAGCCACGTCCATCAAATGACCATTTTTCCTCCTTCTTCTTGCATCAGTGGGGAAATCCCCTTCTTTGGCGAGGAAGGTATTGCAATTCTCAACACTTCCTTGGGAGTGGAGCAAAAAGCTGTATTTTAAAGAAATTTTAAGGCAGCCCTGGCTAAGGGAGATCAACCAGCATTGGGGGGAAGCAGCTTCCCCTCCCTGACATCTCCCTTCGCTGGCAGAGGGGCGCAGAGAGAGCGGGAGGGAATGGAGACAGTCACCAAAAATGTCTCATCTGCAGAATAATTAGTTTTCCCTTTGAAGCAACAAACACTGCCCCGTTCTGCCCCACGTGAACCCCCTGGAAGATGCTGTGAGATGTGATGCAGGGCCACGCGTGGGGCTGGGGGGCTTTGGGGCTGGGGGGCTGGAACGGGGCAAGTGCTGCTCATGTCCCCGTTCAGCCTGCTCTCCCCCCCCTCCCCACACAGCAGATTTGCTGTATCTCCTCAGAAACAGCAGTAATAGGTTGAATGCTTAATCTTTTAGGAGGGGATTAACGCACATACCTTAACGATATTGGGAAATTTTGAATCCTGACTGGCTGGCAATGGGTCACTTGACTGTGACCGCTTCATCCAATCAGGCATTTAATTGGCTTTGTGTGTTACATTAACACGGGAGCCTGTGCAGAGCATCAATTAGCCCCAGGGACACGGGGGGGTGTGTTCTGCAGAGATAACGCCCCACTCAGCTTCAGCTCTTGCCTTCAGGCCCTGAAAAGGGGGGATAAAGGCAGATCCTCCCCACCCATGCCTTCTGCCATCAGTTTTCCCACTCCAGAATCAGGGCATCCATGTCTGGAAAAGTGTTTTCTTCTCACAAATGAACGTTTGCCATTAGGGCTGTAGAGAAGCTTGTCCCTCAACAGCTTGGGGATGTCTCCTGGCTTGTTTGGTCCAGGGAGGACATTGTTCTGTGAAGTGAGAGGTACAGAACCGTCCTGGAGATGGACCTGCCAACCTACACTGACTTACTGGGGTACAGCTCCTAGAGAGGTCCCTGGTCCCTGGCCATGCTGGATTTCTCCCCTTTATCCCAGAATCCCAGAATTTCAGAATCACAGGATGGTAGGGGTTGGAAGGACTGCCATACTTCCCTCTTCCCTCCTGCAATTTCCCTTGTCTCCTGGTTGTTTCTCTTCTGATTTACATTCCTTTGCCACTTTCTCTGCATTTTTTTAATGTTTTTTTTTGTCCCTGGGAGCTGCAGGTGTGATTCAGCTGGTATGGAGATCGCTGTGCCTGTCTGCTGGTTGAGGCAAGGGGAGCAGGAGCTGGGTCAGGAGGCTTTTGTGTGATGTGTGAGCTCATTTATAAAAACAAAAGCAAGTTTCCGTAAGATGTGTGTTGACAACAAGTGCAAATGCTACCGATGGAACTCCACCACTGTAGTACTGACACGCAGGTAGTGAGTCTGTGCTGCAATCCGGCCATTGTTTGCCCCTGTTCCCCCAGGAATCTAGCATAATTATGGAAATATTTGCTAAAAACAGCCAGATAAACAACCGTTTGGCTCATTACGCTACAGGTCTGTGTGCAAAGCTTACCCCTTAAATTGCCCTGCTGAGATTTGCAGGTAAAAGGGGCTGATATTTGGGTTAAGCCGGCCCTGATTTGGGGTTGGGATGTGAAGAACGTGGTGGTTCCTTTCAGTCCTGGTTCCTTCAGTCTGGCTCAGAAATGGCAGGGTTGGGCTTTGCCCTCCCTACGGGTACCAATGGATCTGCACCCTCCTGTGAACCTCTCCTGGATCCCCCTCGTTGAGCAGGGGAAATGCCATCGTTCCCCGCTGCTGCCAAGTTTCTGCAGAGCAATATCCTGGCTGTAGCTTTCTTTACGATGATTCACAGTATTCTGTTGAGAAAGCCTATTATATTCTACAGATATTGGTTGTAAAAAGAAATTTCACAGATTGTGGCACAGGTTTCAACCCATTCGAAGCTGACAGGGCCTTTCCATCAGGGAGGACAAATTTTTCTTCTTTATGACTATTCTTATTAAAACCAGGATTCCTTCTGCTCCTCTTGCTTCTCGAGCCCACAGGACATTTTTACCTTTCATTCTTTAAATTAAATGATTTGTTGCGGTACTAAAATCGGAACAGTTGTGGCAGATTCTTCTCTCCTGAAATAAACCACGTTTCTGCTGATCTGAGTGAAACTGGAATAGCAAATAACGGTGTGAGGCGATCGTTAGCCAGGCAAACAAAACAAGCCAGAGCTCTCTGTTGGGCCATCGCTCATTTATACAGCCAGGAAAGATAAAAGAGGCAGAGAAGATGTTCTGCAGTTTATGGAGGGTCCTATCTCATGGCTCACACTCACTCAGCCAAGAAAGGCTCTGGAAGGCACCATGGTGGGACACGTTCATGGTCTTTACACCATTAAAACTTCACCAGAGAGGGAAGCTGCCTGAGGGAGCCCATTGCAGAGGAGGAAAATGGTCTTAGGAAACACCTCCAAATGTGGAACAGTTCCTTGTTGGGGGGGTTCAAACCATTCCAGTTGTGTTTTCCGTGGCTCTGGCAGGACAGTGTCACAGATGTCAGTGCCAGCAGGATGCTCGGAGCTGGTTCAGCATGGGCTGGGGGGGGGAGGCTTGCTTAAATTCTGGTCCCTTAAATCTTTTCTATCCCCTCATCTTTGTCTTGAGTTGCTCCTGTCATGCTGATAGACTGGAGACTTCACCCTGTTCCCCTTGTGCCTCCAGACTGCTGAAGAAGAGGGGATGCTGAGAACAAGTCATTTACCTGTAATTCTTTAACTCCCTGTGGTTGGAGCCTGCCACCAAGGCCACGTTATCAGCTAGATTTGCTCTTCTTAGTTTATTAAGCTTTTAAAGCCTTTAATCTTATTTGGTCTGGATCTGTGTCTTTCACTGCATTTCTGAAATCAGTCAGGACACAAAATAACAAATATCACTTTCAAGACATCGATTTGACTCCTGCAGATGCAGAAGGATGCTCAGAAAGCCCAGGTACAGATACACACAGAGGAATTCCTGATCCCCCCACTCCCCACTCCCACCCCCCATAGGTATCTGCTCCCTCAAGCAAACCTGCTTTTATACTTTCCAACTTCAGCTTTAAAAAAGAGATTTCATTTTTAAGATTAAATGCTAGAAATAAATTCACAAGCATGCAATAAATGGAGCAAATGGGAAAGGCTGATCCTACTTCTACGGGCCAGCCAGGAATTAAGTGAGATACTCTGGCAAAAAAAAAAAAAAGAAGAAGAAATGTTTTACCCAGAACCTCAGACAATTTTCCACTTGGCCTACAGAAAAAGCAACTTGAAAATTCTTCTGCCTTTCCTTGTCTTTCACTGCTCTGAGGACACGTAGCCTCACAGACCGCTCCAGCTCCTGCCCTGCCCTTGTTCAGGGCTGTGCTCAGCTGCCTCGGGTACGGCATCAACGCAGCCAAAATTTCCAAACTTAAACCCCTGTATTTACTTTTTCTCCAGCCTGAAGGGAGAAGGAGCCTCAGCTGCAGCC